GGGCATCTGTTTGACCAAAAGACATCAATAATTGCGTTAATTTGGGGTATTCTATTTAAAGCATGGAGGAGAAGTCCTTTTCCAAAATTTTGAAGCTTCAGTGAATAGTCGTGAAAATCTACTCCCCTTTTGAAATCGCGTTATAAATTTTATAGTGTCTCAGCCTTGGAACCGAGTTAAACAGACATTCTCAAATCCCATCCATCAGGTTCAATCGACGCTTTGTGAGGATTCAAATTAGATGGAAAATAGTCGAGACTACAAATTAACTACAATGTTGATAGAATCCTGCATGTAAATTCTTTCGAATACAAGTAAACAATAACAGTTTACAAATTCATACCAAGTCATTTCAGTGTGCTATGTCGAAAACTTCACGAACTTTTCGGTTGTTTGATAATTTAATCGCCAAAGGAAGAATAGCTGAACGTAGAATTCGACACAAGTTTACCTTGCGATAGCCAAATTTTGCTAATTAATTGTCTGGCGTGAAGCATATCGAAAACAAAGATGCGATCCCTATCCTCGTCCAGTAGCTTGGTTATCTGTGGTCAAATTCGCTATAAATAAACCTGTGCGACAATAAATTGTGACTGGTAAAATGGGTCGACCCGGCCTCTGCACTCTGGACTGGAGTACGAAAAGTCAACGGATTAGTTAATGCACTGCACGAAGGATCACACTGTGGAGGGTCCAGGTTAATGCGATTTCACTGTTCTTTCGGTTACAAATGGCTGCAACCCGTTCGCTATCAAGGTATTTATAAGGGAAAAGTCGACAGTCACAGTTCAGTTCAACTGCTGAATAAAAGTAAAAAGTCGTAGTTGTCAACACATCGGGAAAAGGAAGTCTTGGGGAACTTTGGATTTGCTCAGCCATCGCATATTCCATGAAGTAGTAATAAAACTTCTTTATTTTCTCTGTTCTGGTCTGTTGTTGTTATTTTGTGCCGTCACGTTGGGTCAAACCTGCGGTCAAAATGCATTGCTCCTCAGTAGTTGAATCATGCGCAGTACTTTCCATCCTCCGTGCCCAACCCTTGGACGGGCATCCAACGCGTCTGCCACCAGGGTCTGAGAGGAAAATCCTCCATGACATTTCACCTGATTTACTGCTACACTGTGACATCAGCATTTGCACTACCGAACTGACCAATTCAACCATGTAGCTACTTCCGGGCACAAGAAGATCTTCCATATCCTTTATCGGCTCAAGCCGATTTATTGCAAGTCGCGACCATTTGTGATGGGAAAGTGGACCACTTGTACCTAAACTTTGAGGAAAGTAAGTATGATGCGAACGTGGACGGTGAATACAGACATGAATGCAAAAGGATCTAATCTCAACGGGTAAGTTGATTACTAAACGAAGTCAACGCAGATTGGAACCAAGCCTTCGATCTTCGTTGTGTTAATCATCCATGAAATCACAAATTTCAAAACACATAAAGAAGTCGATAACAAGGCCAACAAGAATGAAGAAATCACTAAAAATGATCCACTTTTAGTACGATTTCAGAAGGCAAGTCGTGTGTCAAAAACGTGTAGAATAGAGCACCTTGAATCGACGCAATTATTGGTGTCTTGATCAGATTGATGCCT